GGGGGAAAGAGGAAAAAACAAAGAAGACAAAGTCCTTGAAATAGACATAAAGTAGGACTGAATGATGAAAAATGTGTAACAGGAATATATAACATGAAAACTCTTTTTAGCTCTTTGGAGCTTTTAAAAGAGTCTGTTCAGGCAATAGCATCCATGTGATTGGTGAAACGAAATCTTTGGGTTTCTCTTTTCGCCCTTCATCCACCTCACCAACTTATTTGAAGTGTGCATTTGTATTTGCTCCTCCTTTTTTTCCAGCCATACACCCATTAAAAGTATGTTTAATAAAACAGATCAAATTCATCTTGTTTATAGTTTAGTTGTAAGCTGAAACAAGTGCAGTGAAGTCTGCACGAGTCCACCAGGCCTGCCCAGGGACTAATGTGCAGGTTGGAGCGGACTGTTTTCTGCAAGAAGGTCACTGTGGTGCAGTTAATATTGAAAGGAAGCTAAAGACAAGAAAACACACTCAGAAAGCATGCTATTTGTGTGGTGTTTTGTTTCCATGTATAGAGTCTGATAATTATGGGAAGTTGAGATAATGAAGTGCAGACCAACAATAGTCTCATTAAACCCGGAAACGGGGCAATCGAGTATAGGGTTACACTGAAGGAGAGAAAGAGAGAGACTGACTATAAGATTACACTGAGAGTTTCAAGAGAGCAAGACTGACAAAGTGTGAGTGTGTAACAGGTCTGTGTGTGTGTGTGTGTGTGTGTGTGTGTGTGTGTGTGTGTGTGTGTGTGTGTGTGTCCAGACCATCTGCCTTGGATCCTAATTGAATGATTAGACAGCCCTCGTTTTTCAACCCTTCATGCATTTATTCTTCACAGCTCCCAAATCTGATTTCTGAAGAGAGTGTGTGTGTGTGTGTCTGTGTGTGTGTCTGTGTGTGTGTCTGTGTGTGTGTGTGCATTCACGTGTGTGTGTCCACATCAAAGGAAGATCTAGCTCTGTTTTCCATTCTTATCAAAAGCTGTCATCCACTCAGTCTCTCTCACACACACACGTGCCCCAACTACAGTAGGTCCCGATGAGCTGCTTGGT